ATGTATATGTATATGTATAAGTGACAAAAGTTTTAATAGATGGTCTCATCTATTTGCAAGAGAAATATACTTTAGTAGGGACTGAAGCAATGAAAGCTGTACAGCAGGAGACTGTAAGGAAGAAAAATACGTTTTATTCATATTCATATTTGCTGCACAGTTTTTCCTGCTGATCTCTTTTTAGAGCTTTAATACACAGGAAAAATTACAAGGTGAGATTCAAACTTAGAAGGATAATTCTTACAGTTGACATGCTTGTAAATCGTTTTTCACATTTAAATCCTTCAGTTGGGGTCTATTTAAAGCGCTACTGCAATGCTTTGGTCTGAATTCCTCCTTACTGTAACTCCACAAGACCCCCTTTCACCCCTTTTTCTAAAGTGCGTCTCAGATCAACTCATTTTGAGGCTGTCTCTTTAAATCCAAACGAGATGCTTCACACCCTGCCCCCCCACCAGCTTCCAGAGTGGTCAATTCCGGTTTGATAGAAGGGTTTATGATTATACAGTGGCAGAGAAACATTTTCTGTACAAAATAAGTAAAATATGTCAACAACAGAAGACATGTCCAACCAGCCTCACATGTTGGAGCCAGTCTGACCCAGAGCCAGAGGAGACTGAAGACCACCAAGTTGTATTTGGTAAGTCCAGACCTTTTTTTTAGCAGTTTTGTAGCAAATTCTGTGATGTAATAGTTCAGAAAAAGTCATAGAAAATAGAGAAAACTGAACAGATTGAAGAACATGACCCAAACAGAATATAAAGATATCTACGCAGCACAGGGAGAAATTAAATTAAACTTTTCTTTTTTTACACAACACAATGTATTTATCAGCAAAAAAAGTGGATTTAGCACAATACGTCCCCTTTAAGTGACTGATTCTCAGAGATCATAAGTTACTCACCTGACAAATTACAGGAAGCCTTGGAGAACTAATGTGTTTTATCTCTGTAATCAGTTCATTTCTCATCTTTATCATGCTTTAACGCACACACAAAGATGCACACAGAAGACCAAGAGCAGTGCACACACACATCCATCCGACTGATGACTCATATCTTGTTGGTGAAAACAGGAAGTTRTTACCTGCCTGTCTGTCCCTGTCCGAGGTCATCTGCGTACATYAAGTCTGCTTCTCAATTAGGTGTTAATGGGACAAACAGACGTACAGAAGTGGAACAGGAGGGACACGTTTTCAGATTTGTGTGAAAACCTAACCCTGCTGCTTAGTTTTCTTAGGATTTTCAAACCTAAAAGTATGTTGCACAGAACAAATTTAACTAGACCAATCAAATTTTACAAGACCTTCAAACTATATTTTGYATGCATGGATGAAAGCTTTTCTGACAGTCGTCACCTCTCTTCAGTTTCCTCCACTGCAATAAGTTTACCCACACAGGACAGGGATGCTCCTGCTAACAAAACTTCACAAATACTGCAACAGGAAAAAAAAATATCATTGCCTGACTGCAGGTGTTGCACCTCTGCTGGAGATGAGGAAAAGACAAGACAAGGCTCCCCCACCACACACACACACACACACACAGACACACACACACACACAAAAGACAGAGACCAGAGCAAACAATGTCAGCGGTTTTATTCAGTCACCAATCCCTCCTTCTCCTGACGGAGCCTTTTGTAGAATCATGACAAAGCTGCGAAAGCAAGTCTTTTGTCTGGAAACAAAAAGGAATGCATTTGTGTGTGTGTGTGCGCGCGCATGTGTGTGTGTGTGTGTGAGTGAATTACAGTGTGAGCACAAACGAGAGCTATACGTGACGTGCTAGTTCCAGAAATGACTTCTCAAGAGTGTGAGGCAAGTGTGGAACCGACGTGTGTTTGGATCCTTTATGTGGCTGAAGATTGACTTGTCAGTGGTCAGCAGCTCAAAACCCATGCGAAGCGAGCTGCTATCACTCAAACACACACCGAGTAACAAACCAGGCTTTCTAAAGGCCTCTTTAACAAAGGCCCATCGAACAGATGTGCCCCGTTGAAGAACACATGGTGTGTGAAACAGGCTTATGCACACACAAACACACACACACAGTATTGTTTAGAGTAAAGTTGTAATGTGTTAAGAAAATTGCTTCCCTTCTGTTCTTTATGTTTTTATGTTACTGTATGTTCAACATCTTTCCCCGAGTCTTCAGCACCAATTAGGTCAAATCACTGAATCATTTATCATATATTAACAGATGTATCTTGGCTCTTCAAAGTAAAAGTGAGCAAGAGTCTTTTTTAGTGATAAATATGGACAATTGATTATTTGGCAGTCCTAAAATTACCTTTTAAGAAAATCTACATTTAGTATTACTCAGCCATTTATATATACAGAGTGCCAAGTGTAAAATAAAATGTTAAAACATGTCACTAACATATTTTCATTATTTAGCTCAATTTTTGAGAATAATATCCTACTATTGTTTAACTCACTGCTAATTTTGACTAAAAGTTAAATTTAAATGTACGTAAATAATAAATTCTAAATCTAAATGTGTAATCCAAAAGTTAAATCTTAAACGTTGTGGTTAAAAGTTTACATTTAGGTATTTTGGAATGGAACAGCAACCCTTGGCACTTTGCTCATGTTATGATGTCATCATCCTGAGACAAAAAAACAACCACTAATGCTGCTAACGCTGTTAACGCTTCCCTGCAAGACATGAAACTTGCAGCTGCAGCCGGTGTCTGAGCTGCACATTAAACTGCCTGACAGAAGGTCCCATCCATATTGTTCTCAAWGCACATTTTGATTTTAAAATTTAAATGGCATCTTTAGCCACTGACATTAAAGATTTAACTTATTTGTACATTTAGATGTAGGATTTAATAT